GCTGGAGCTGAAATTAGGCTCCTTCCATGCCGATTGGTGTGAACTCAGTTTGGCACATCTCAGTTCCTCAGGCACCGTCCCCACGCTTCTGGGAATTTTCCAGGCAGAGGATCTATGGAGCTGTAGTAGTGTGTATCTGCATTCATGCCTTTTTTGGGCAGTGATAAGACAGCCTCTTCATGGAGATTGCCATTTTGTAAATAAGCTTCTTCTCAAGCACCACCACTAGGACTACAAAAGATGGATGATTCTTTCTTCCCAGAATTGGTTTTCCGCTGCAGGATCTGGATTTTCTTAATTTGCATATAATTAAAAATGGCCCTGTGTCTTCAGTTTGCACTATGCCTGTGGTACTGAGCAATCTTGGATCATGTTTTACTCTGCAGTATGCTGTGTCTGGGAATCACTTTATTCATCACTGAAAATCAGCTTTTAATTGTGGCATACAGATATCTGCAGGCTTTCATGCAGCAAAAGCCTCTGCCTCCAAAAATAAAATGTTGCTTCTCATAAACTTTCAAATGAGTTGTTTTTTAGAGACTGGAAAAGTTGCCAAGAATATCTGCATGAAAATCTAGCATGCTGACTAAAGCGTGAATTTACCGTTGCCTTTAAAAACCAGCTCTGAGCAGCATTCAGGCTGCAGGTAAGGTTGCAGGCTGTATGATTTCCTTCAACACTTCTGTGCAGCACCTGCCTGGTGTGAAAAGCCTGACAGTCTGTTTGCTTTCCTGTGTGCGATCCCAAAGGACAGCGGGTGCTGCTATGCCAGGGCAGCGGTGAGACGGTCGCAGCACGGCATGAGAGGCAGCCTGTGTGCTGCTCTTCTTGGAGAAAGTGTGGAACAGCTGTGGTTTTTAAAAATGGCTGCAGTTCAGGTGGAGGTGAAATTGCAAGGAGTTGCAGGCGTAGGTAAGCAAAAATATAGCACACTTAGACACCTTCCTTGGGACAGCAGCGTGGAAAACTACCCTGCAATTTGATGCCGTTTTCTAGCATTAGATTTATTATTGATTATCATTTACCAAAAATCTTTACCATCAGAAAAGAAACGCACACAAAAAATGACTGGGAAAATGAGTAATTTTTGTACTGTACTTTCCATGCTGGCACATTTTCAGTACATACAGTGTTTGGTTTTGGTCTCAACACTGAGATCAGTGTTACTGAAACCAAATATTTTCCATGCATCTACATTAATGTAATGTAATACATTACAACATTGCAAGATCTGCACAGTGCATGTGATAAGAAGCGTGGAAACTTCTTTGCCCAGCATGATGTCCAATAACTGCTCGTAATCTTGCATGTCTCCATCACTGCCACGAAAGCAGAGATGTGCAAGTTTGTACACTTGTTCCTTGGTGAGTTTTGTGTGGGAGAGGGCTATGTCTGCATCAGGCCAGCTTAGATCAGCTGCTCCCTGCAGCTGCTCAGAAGGTTGAAACACAAAAGCCAGGGTCACAGGACAGATTCTTTCAGCAGTTTTCTTGTCTGGATCAACACTGCAGGTGCTGTGAAGCTGGTGCTTCCCATCCCCAACTCCCAGATCTTATCCAGACTTGTCTCTTTCTAGCTCTGTGTCTGCAGAGTAGGATCTGTGTTCTTAGCTACAGGATGCCTCACCTGTTTTTGCTTGTTTAAGTACATGTCTTTGAAGCAACACTGCAGGTCAGGACACTTGTTTCTTAAATTCCTCTTCTCCTCGGGTATTAGTATTATTGTTTCTGAAAAATCACCTCTCTGATGTTTGCTCACTGGTTTAGTACAGGAAAAGCTTTACAGTTGTACCTGGAACATCCCACTACACATGCAAGGTGTGGTTCTCCATTTTGACAATCCAGATGTGATTTACAGACCATGGAATGTACCGCCAAACACAGACAGCAGCTTCTGACTGCAAACTCCAGCAAGCCAACACTTTCATTTTAAACAGAGCTTTCTCCATGAAGCTTTGCACTTGGCTGGCATGCATCAGGTACTGGACAGCTAGGGATTGCCTAGTAAAATACTCGCAAGAGTTGACAACTATGCAAACAGAGCCTGGGAAGAGTGATCTTTTTGTCAGGCTCCTGCTGAAACCTTTTGAGACATCTAAGCTCGACAGTTTGTTTATTCTCCTGAGGTCCTGCTACTCCAGCTTTCTACTTGTCCTTTCATACTCCCCTCAGTTTAGCTGCCTGGTCCTCGTAGGTCTGCCCTAGGTTGTCTGGGCTTTCAGCTCAACATGGTTATTCAGAGGGAGAAAAGCCAACAGCTGGAATAAGAGAAGCAGAAGTCAGCATGCAGCATGTCTTGTGTGTTTAAGGAGAAGAAAGAACAGCATCTGGCCTCTGTCAGGAAGAGTTCTCCTCGCCTAGCCTCCTTCAAGGAGCATGCAGAGCTGAGTGGAGGCAGACATGTTGACTGCCTGGTCCTATCTTCCTGCAGCTTCCTTCCTTCTTGCGTGTCTCCTGTCTTGTAGTCGCCCAGCTGTGTGTTACAGCATGCTAGACATGTGAAAGTGATGTCTGCATATCCAAAGTCCTTCTTGGGGATGTTTTCATTCATGAAAATGAAGATCGGATGTTAGGAACGTTGACATTTACTGTCAACATTTCATTGTCTTGTTCTTGCACTATCTGTCCTTTCACCATTAGGGTGGTGAAGAGAGAAATGCCGGCTTAACACGTAGTCAGAAAGCGCAAGTATAAAAGTATAGAAACAAACCACCAGTAAGTACATAAATAGGCTAACTGTATGATAGCTTGTAAAAGGAGGCAGTCTGCAGCGTGACTCCTCTGTAAACTGCATGATAGCATTGGTGAAGCCTGCTGCAGACACTCGGCGGCTTCCCAGGGTTGCTTTTGCTAGACTTTGAGTATCATAGTTGCAGAGACTTGTACCTGTTCTGAGAGACTCTTGTTTTTTTTGTACGCTGTGGCCCTTTGCTTTCTGAATCGGTTCATAGTGATGGAGTTAATGGAGCTGTTCTTTATCGTAACCTAAAAGGTGTCAGTTGTTTGCTTGTATGTGTTCACAAGCTGACCCGTAGCGTTATGCATCCCTGAAATGGTGTGATTTGAAGCACTTTTGGTGTGGCATGTACAGTAGCAGTGCCATCTGGTTTTGATTTCATCCCTAGCTATCACACGTGTTCTCCCCATGTTTTGGACACTGAACCAAACAAACTTTAAAACTAGCACTTTAAGTACTAGTGGTCACTTTGCTTCTGATTATATTGAGCACTGCACTTTTGTAAGTACTATTAGCACTGAGTTTTGAACCACTTTTTTCCCCCAGTCTATTTAGTCTCTTAGGCACGGCATTAATTACCTAGGGGCCATCAGAAGATAATTTTGAGGTGTATGTGACCACTGTCTGGTGCCTAATTTCCACTGCATATCTCTTAGCAATTTTATAGATGAGAGAAATGAAACCGTCAAAGATTGTTTTTACCTAATAGACTGAACATCTGTATCATTGACATCCAAGCAGATGTGGTTGCTGTAAACTTTGAGGTCAATCAGAAAACCAAGCGCATGGTTGTTTTTAACACCAAAGATATAGGAGAAATCTCAAAAGGGATTGGGATAGTGCAAGATGGTATAATTTACACTTTGATTTGCACAGACAGCAGGATGTGAAACAGAACCAAAGCTAAGAGTGCGTGGCAGATACTCTCGGTTTTGGTAGGAGAACCCGGTCTGCAGCAGCAGGTTGGGTTGGATCAGTGGGAAAGCTAATTTGAAACTGCTTGTAGATGCAGATATCAGTAACAACTGCGCTCAAGCCATTGCAATACGTGCCATCATTGTGCCTGTACTGAAAGTGCTGTTGGGATCATTGTGGCTAAAACTACAAAAAAAAAAAGTAAAGGATTTGCAAATGTTTTAGATGATGGAGCATATAACCACTGGGTTTGCTGTTGAGATTGGAGAGAAGCATTAGGAGCTTAGCAAGTCGCATGGCAAGAAGCCATGTCAATGTGCTTTCCTATCTTTGTTAGATTCCTGCAATATTTCAGCATGGCTGGTGTGGGGCCTGAGTTGCCAGTTCTCCAGCAAAAAATCAATGGGATAGAGTTTGTCCCAAGTGGCAAAGGCATAATTTTCTAGTATTTGGACCTGGGTGATGATCCTCAGGATGCACCATTTTCCAGGTTTTGATATTCCAAACCATACCCTCTCAACCCACTGATGTCTTTTGCTTCTCTAAAAGCCATCGTGGGTTTACTGCAGCAACAAGTAAACCATGGTGCTTGCAAGGGTTCTGTGCATCCTTCCCAATGAGGTATCATGCATGAGACCCACAAGGGAACCCTTCCATTGGAGCCTTTCCTTGGCAATGCTCCTGGATGGGATTTGCTCCTTGGTGACATGAGTAGGGGGGAAAACTCCATCAGCACAGTCAATTGCTTGAAGGAAGAGAGATGAGTTAGGTCTTCTCCTTCGCTTTTAGCAAGCAGCTGTGGTGGAAATAACCTCCAGTGGAAAAAAAAAAAAAGTGATACTTTTGCTTGTTTCAGCAGATCAAGTATTGTCCTGACCAGCTGCTTTTGCTTTGGTTCAAGCTAGGCTTTCTTCTCCAATAGAGCTTTATGGGTTTGGGTATTCATTCAGAATTGAAAGTGGTTAAAAAGCAACAAGATCTGAGCAGCCCAAAGCGTTATGCTTTTATATTCTCCATTGTGTGATTTTAAAGTAGAAATGTACATAGATTCCAGACTTTTTTCTCTCCTGGCCAAATTAACCCTGCAAATCTAGCTTTAAAGAACTAGCATCCAGCGGCTCAGGTGCTCTCTCAGTACCCAGGCGCTAGTTGATGAGGACAGCCTCTCAGAAAGGCTCACAGAGGGCCTTGGCCCCTCTGGCTGGCGCTGGGACACAATGGGATGCTTTTCAATACTTGAGCCGACATTCTGTCATCCTTTGGGGAGCTGAGAGCTTTCTTTCCTTCTGGGGAAAGGAAGCTGGCAAGGAAGAGGGACGCAGAACAGGTCTCTGTGTTTTTTTCCACAGGTGTAGTTTTTTGCCCCTCCGAGTTGGCATCTCGTCCTTCGGGAAGGTAAAGTTAAGCACTTTCTGCTGCATGGCACACATAAGGCCTGAATGTAATGCATAGCACAGCACCTCTTTCTCTGGAAGGACCTTTTAAGCAGAAGACGGTTCTTTTAGGGGATTTCAGTTGCTTGGGTTTGAGGCAGATCATGGGAAGTGCATTGAAATGGCACACGGACGATGTTTTACTGACCTTTTCGTTCTCTCCAGCAGAGACAGTTTTAATTTCTTTCCATAGTTTAGAGCTCTTTCCCAAAAGTATTTCCTGGCCCATGTGAATGACCTTGAAATGAGTCAAGTTTATCGAACTAATTGTGCATTGCAGGAAGCAGTCTCCAAATGCACACACACCTATGCACCCATCAATGTGTATGTGTGCATGTATGTGTGTGCACATATAACCTACAGACAGAGAATTTATTTTCCCCACCTGTTCTTTTTGTGGTATTATTATTATTATTATTACTATTATTATTACTGTTATTATTATTTTGGGGGGTTTTGATTTGTTTTCAGGATATTAACCAAAAGGTGTTTTAAATTCATGGCATGAAGAACCCTAGATGTAAATCTGAGTACATTGTGATGCTGATTAACAGATTTTTCTGGAACTTATGTGATGCTCAGTATTTTTCTTAGGGAGTTTTGTTTAATGTTAGATCATTGTTCTGAAGGATGTTGATACTACTGGAATCACACTAATGGAAATAAAATGCATGTGTTACAAGTGTAGAAACGGTGAAGAATTAAGTGTGAACTTACTGTACAATACCAATTCTGTTTTCAAACGATCTGTTTCGCTGTTCAGTAGTTGACATATAAAAATGCAAATGTACTGTAATTTAGCACTTTTTCAATTAACCCTGTTCTCACAATGCCAGAAGTAAGGAGCACTTCTGGGGCTGTCAGGACCCGTCTCTCCTGACGTGCAGATCCTGGGAAGCATGTCAGGAAAGGGTCAAGCTCTTCATCCTTCCTGCACATTTTGGTACCAGAATTGGCCAGAAGGAAAGAAAAGTGTGAGAGTCTCTTAGTCCCCTAGTGTTAACAGGGTGCAAAGTGTTACATGTTCCGTACTGTACTCAAAGGGTTGGTTGGTCAGTGACTGTATTGTACTGTATGACGACGCATAAATTGCCTTGTATTGTTTCTAATGGACTGTACCATGTCCCCCATGGATCTCCATGTCCCCAGTTTTTCAACAATGATGCATGTTATCAGTTAGGTCCTACAACTCTGTGGTGCTAAATCTCCCATACCTTATGGTGCTTCTGTGGACACTAACTGAGGACATGCTGACCAGAGCTTGAAGTTTCACAGTATTTCTCCTCTGTTTGTACTAAGTGAACACACACACACTTAATGATAAACTTGAATTTGTTTCAAAGCATCATTGACAATCTAATGTTTTCTATGTGTGCTTTTATTTGGGAGGGATTTTCCAGAAAGCAGCTCTCTCCCCCTTGGTTCGCAGCCACCCCTGTGCTCCAGTAGGCAATCCTGTCCTCTTTCTCCATGGCGAGCATGGGGCCAGGACTTACTGTGACTCCTCTGCCTTTGGAGGTGAGCTGCCTCCCCAGCAGCTCTCTGCGTGCTTGTCTGTGCCTAAAAAGGACACCTGTGACCACTCCATCCCCAGGTAGGTGGACACTGTGGTGCTGCTCCAACTCCTCCACAACCAAAAGTGGAGTCTGTACCAAGAATTGGCTTTTTACCAGAAGGGAGGGAATTACTGAAGAGGAGCTGGAGTCCCAACAGGCACCTCTGTCCTGTGAGGGGAGAGCCCACACATGCAGCCCCACTGGCAGAGGAGTCACTGTTGGTTCTGGGGCTTTATGGGCTGTTGGATAGTGTGGACAGACCCTTCCCATTCCAAGCCCCCCACATGAGCTGCTTTCTGGACAAAACAAAATCTGAATATATTTTATATCTATTTGAAAACAAAGTCTGATATTTACCCCTGTTACCAACTGAATTTGCATATTGTTGTTTGCCACAATATTTGTTCTGTCTTAAAATAAATTTGCTTACTTGTGTAGTCTGAACTGTCTGGTCTGATTCTTCTTGCCTGATGCACAGTACGGCTGTTTCAGGGTTCAGTCACTCAGAGCTGCCCTTACAGTGTCTCCCACGTGGGCGCTTCCTGTGAGTAAGACAGGGAAATGTGTCCACCTGTGAGGGGCAATAATTTTAGCCAAGACCCAGAATATAAATCTATCTCTTTTGGTTATCTCACATCTTCTCCCCAGGGCTTTTCAACCTTATGTGCTCTTTCACCAGTCTTTCATAATTACATCCTTCAAAATGGTAAGTGTACAACAGAAGAATCACTGCATTTCAGTACACTTAAGTACAGTTAAGAGATTAAAAAGTTATTAATGTATTCATTGAAGTTAAGTAATTTCTGATGTCGGTGTTTTGCATTTGAGAAGGAAACAATTTATCGTGATGTTGTTGCCAAAAACAGCAGCCAAAAGCTGTGGACATCTAATGATGTTCACAGGAGGAGATGTAGCAAAATCTTTCTTTCTCCTCAGAAAGGTGAACAGCACCATCTTGGTTTTTCAGTGCCACGCGTTAACAAGGCATTTGCATTGATTACTAGAGATTGTACAAAGGAAGGCAGCACTCACAAGTGGTTGCAAACCATGCATCTTCAGGTACAGAATCCAGTCTGTGAGTAGATGAAATTAAAAGAACAGTGCCTGTTCCTGCCCCACAAAATGCCCCTTTATCTCCCTGTAGCCTCAAATGGAAGGCAACAAGTTCTGCTCAGTCCCTGGGTGTGCCAAGCATCCTCACACCACCCTAAATAATGTATATTTGTTTCCTCAGCTGATTTCTCATGCCCCCTCAAGTACAACCCCCCAATACTGCCTCTCCCACTGTTGTCACAGGGGTGCTGGGACTCAGCAGAGCCACTGCAGAAGACATATGCAAGGCTGTATCAGGTGCTAGGGGTACCAGGGAGTGCCCATGCCACATGGGGTGTTAATGTGAGGGGCCCCACTGTGCACAAGTGATGCGCAGGGAGGAGATACAGTGCTGAGGAGAATACCACACCAGCAGGACCTTCTGGAAGAGCTGGATGGACCCCTCCTAGGTGCATACCTCTTTCCAGCATGTCAGCATCAACCTCTTTATTGCATGGAGCCATCAGGTCCAGGTGGAAAAGATCTTCAAGGTGTGTATCACACTGAAGTTAAGCTGCCCCTGGCGTCATCACCAAGGACCAAGTTGGAAGCATTACAAATGCTTTATGTATCTGATTGCTTAAGTCTTAATTTATGAGACTCAGAAGTAAAATACCCTCAGGACTCCTTTTCGGCAAGATAGTATGGAAGACCCAGTGGGTTTCAGCAGCCTGGTGAGCAGTCCAGGGGCTCTCTTGGCTGAGTTTTCCAAGCTGTTCACAGCTCACAAAAGCACCTTTTGTGAGTCCAGAAATGGCAGAAGCCCTTTAGGAGCAACTAAAAAATTGTATCACTCCCTTTTACTTTGCTAAATGTATTTTTAGTTGGAAAGCTCATTAAAGGTGCACAGTGTGCTACACCCCTTGATTTCCAGCTTCACATGAGGGAAAGTGAATTTCAGAAACTCTGGTTGTTTCAGCCCGTGGAAACTGAGGAAACTGCATGTTGTCTATCAGCATTATTTACGAGGAGAATGTTAAAACTTGTGCCCAAAAAATGCAGAAGATCCAAGGAGTTCTGTACACTGCAGTGCACAGTACGTTTTTTGGTAGTGATCTAGAGCTGGCTGTGAGATGCTGTGTTAGGTACATAAGGGCACATGCACACCAGTCCTGATCACACTTGCCCCTAAGATGACGCAACGAAAGGACACTGTAATACACGGCGTGGTTTAACGTGCACCAGAGCTAGCCAAAAGACAGGGCCGTCTTATGGCGTTACTCCGCATTTCCAAGGAGCAGCACGTGCTGAGGAACTCCTCTGCAGAAGGGCACGCAGCGCTGCGCTACCCGCAGTGCCTCAGCGCTCCGGTTCCAGAGGGCAATCTCACCTCTCCGCCAGGCCAAGGCCGCTACGGCAGCGGGGCGGCGCCTAACCGGGGGCTCGGTGGGACTTCGCACCTCGCACAGGTGCCGCACAGCTCCAGAGACTGCAAGCCGCGTTTGCTTTCCGTTATTGACTCCGGTCTGCAAGGCGAGACGTTTCGGCCAGTCGGGCCGAAGCAGAGCGACCACCCACAGTGAAGCAGCAGAGCCGAGGTACCCCGTGTTCGCGGCGTCCTGCGATTCCGCGGCGCAGCTACACGGCAGCGGCTCCCCCGGGCACGATGCCGGACCACCCCTCAGGCGGGCGGCGACCGTTACGCCGCGGCGCGAAACCCCGCGCAGGCGCAGTGGCGGACCGGAAGTGCAGGCGGGGGCGGAGGCAGGCGGAAGTGCGCAGGGCCGGGGGCCGCCATTCCGGGGAGCGCAGCAGGCCGCGCGCCCCCGCCGTTGCGCCGCCAGCCTCAGGCGGGCCCGGCCCTCGCGGGCGCCCAGTGCGAAGGGCCCGGTCCCGGCCGGCAGTGCCGTCATGGAGGAGAAGAGCTTCGCCAAGGAGCTGGACCAGTGGATCGAGCAGCTGAACGAGTGCCGGCAGCTGAGCGAGAGCCAGGTCCGCAGCCTCTGCGAGAAGGTGAGGCGGGGAGAGACGGCTCGGTGCAGGGAGGCTGAGGTGCCGAAGGTGGCCGTGCGGGGGCCCGGCGCCGCGGGCGGGAGGAGCCGGGCTCGTTTGTGCCTCCGCGCTGGCTGCCGCGGGCCCGCCCGGTGCTGCCCGCATCGCGGCTCCGAGCGTCGGGAGGCGTCGGGTGTAGAACGGCTCCCGGCTGTAGGAAACCTCTGACGTGCGTTGAGGGATGGAGGAGGGCGGAGAGGGGCAACGGGTGGGCTGTAGTGCTGTCTGAAAAAGAGGCTTATGCCTTGCTGAAGGAAGGCTGGGATAGAGTGGGAAGTGGTTGGAAGAATGATAGTTTGCCACTCTCGATTGCTGTTGGATGTTCCTTCGGTAGCACGCTGTTCAGGTGTGTTTAGTGGAGGCTGCAAAGACAGGAGACAGGTCTTGGTGGCTTTTGTCTTTTGTTAAATGCCTGTGTGCAGGCACACTTCTCCATACTGCAGTCTATGACTGAGGTAGGATTTCTTTGCAAGTACGAGATGTGACAAGGCCAAGGAGCTGAAGTAGGTTTCTTCACAATGGAACAGCTAAGAGTGTTCTTGCAGTTCGCTTTCTAGCTCAGTGACAGCAGGGACCGTTGCCGTGCACCAGATCAGCTGATAACTGCTCTGCCTGTGTGCCTGACAGCTAGCTCATTGTTCCCTGTACTGTTTGTATTGATGATAGTGAGCTTGGTTTTGCTGTTGTGTCAGTTACCTGTGTCTTACTGACTTCTTTCAGGACCAGGTGATCTGTTCCGGTGCCTGTTCCTGGCATTTTGGCCAGTGACTAAACATCTTGGTGACAGCTTTCAGAAGATGCAACTATTTCTTTTTCTCAAGTTTTCAGTAGGCCACCACAGCAATAGATTTGAACAGTAGAGAGGGTCTGCACCATCACCTCATAACATGCTAAGAGTGCCCTTCAGAAGGTAGAGTTGCTTGAGTGCCACAGGTGGATATTCTTTAGGACTCCAAGCTGTGGCTGCCTGGCAGATGCTTATATCCATGGTCCTGCCTTCTGTCTGACTGCAAGTTGGCCTCTATTTCCTTTCTCACGTTCTTTTTCTTACCCATGCTGAGACTGCCCATTTGCTTTATGGCTTTTTCTGCACTCACAGAGCTGTGACAGTTGAGAGGAAGGCTGGTGCTACAGCAGGGAGCAACAGAAGGGCCTTGAGATGTAGTTGTCTTGAGAGCAAGCGAGATTCTTGTGGCTGTGCTATCCTGTGTGAAATCCATCTGATGAGCCTGAAAGAGTTTATTTCCAGTTCAAAACAACAAGAGTTCTGAACTGTTGTTCCAACTGCCAAGCTGTTACAAAAAAAAATTTCCCTTCTTAATTAACAATGAAGCCAGAGAAGGAGCTTTGGCTGCTGTTTTCAAAAGCTGGACAGTACTGTCAGTAGATTGCATTGCAGTCAGTGGCTGCAAAGCAGGGAGAGGTGCCAAGTTGAGAGCGCAGCTGCAGGTGAAGGGAATGTCAGGCCTCAAAAGTGACAGGTAGGATGTGAACTTGTAAGGCACAGCACGTTGTTTTTGGTAATGAGTGTAAGCTATTGCAGCATCTAGTTTTCAGGTAGCGTTGGTAACTGATTTGCAGTTCTGCAGAAAGCTTGGTTTGTTTCCTTGAGATAATACTTGAGAAACCCTTAACCTTTCTGGTCAAGTGCAGTAGTAACTGTTGCTTCAGGTTTTAATTAGTAATTGTATTAGGTGGTTAAAATGAAAAAAAAAAAATGCAAAAACAAAAACATCTACAAAGTTTTACATGAAAGCGGGAGATAGAAAAACAGATCAAGTTCCAGACTTGCATGTGTGTATCATTCTTGGTTTCACTTGCTGGCCTTACAGAAAGTAATGAGGGAAGGACTGGAGATAGCCTGGCTCATACACGGTATAGAAGTCATTCTTTCTCAGAAAGCTTTTGAAATTTCCACCTGTAGAATCACTGTAAATTGATCTGCCTGGTTATGACATAACTTTGGCAGCTAATCCATCTTATATTCTTTATAGAATTAATCAAGATGTCATCCACTGATAGCAATAAAACACTTCCCATTCTGCTGGTCTTAAAATGTAAACTAAATTCATGCTGATATTTAGACTACAATAGAAGAACAAACAATTATTGTCGCTACTGGAGCTTCTAGGCACCATAGATGTATCCAGCCTGTTAGGGAAATAGACATCAGACTTCCTGTATCTCATCATGCTTAACTTGATTATTGTAGTCACGTGAGTAGATGAAGGTTGTTAAAAACCTTTTTTCTGTTCTCATTAAATACGCAGTGAGAATATCTATGGAGCTCAGCCTTTGATGCTGTCTGCACTTAATCAGAGGTGCACTGGCATGTTCTTTATCCATGGTTGCGCTTGCTTTGAATTTGGGTACTCACAGGAGGGTAGCACTTTCTGGATGGAACTCCTTTTGATCCCATGTGGGCACTGCTGCCCCTCAACCTGCACTTTGAGCAGCTAAAGCTGGGCTGAAAGACTGAGGCAGTGGATTCATATAACAGGAAGTGCTCTCAAAGTTGTACATGAAAAGCTTTAAATGCTCTTCAATTTGAGATTCAGGTCAAGTGAGCAAATTAATTCTGCTGATGAGGGAGTTGAAACCTTAGCTATAATAAAGACAGGTTTTCATTAATATAGGATACGGCATAAAGAAAATCAAGTTAAAGGCTGTTTCTTAAACACAAGCAGACAACCATCTATAACCATCTATTTCTTTGTAGCTTTTTTTTTTTTTTTGAACATCCTTGGTCTCTGTTTGTCTAAGAGGGGAGTAGAGAGTAGTTTTGAGCAGCTGGAGAGCTTTGTGTTGTAAAGAGGTGGGAGGAGAAGGATTCTAACCACTAATGAAGACTTGCATTTCTTGTCCAGTTGCTGAAAGGTAATCATACACTGATTCTTGAAGCTGAGCAGAAGCCAGTTGGTGCTTCAGAGAATACTGCTGTTACTGCCATGTACCTGTGACAGTTCTGCTCTCTGAGGTCATTCTGCACAGTAATAATTTCAATAGAATGAGCTTGTAGGCTCTTCTGCAGTAATCGGTGAAATTAGTACGAGCGAGGAAGCCAAATAGCATCCTGGATGCCATTCAAACCATGACACATTCTGAGAGCGTTATGGTGGATCACAGTCAGCAGTATTTTATCTCTTCAGCAGTGAAGTTTATCTTGCACATACTGGCCTAGATGTCTCTAGGAGTGTGCATCCACGTTGGCATCCGTTTTGCTGTTGGGTGTCCTCTGCTGTTGAAGGGCAGGGCAGCTCCAGCACTCCAGCTACCCTCCCATTTGGGGAGAATCCAGCTGGCTCTTGTCAAACAACGCTGCTGAGGCACCTCTGAGATCTTAAGATCCTCAGCTTGTTGATGCTATGGTTGAATTAATTGCAACTGGCCGATTTAAATTAGGAACTCCATAGCTGGTTTCTCTGATTCCTGAAGTAAGGGCCTCCAGCAGTCAAACTGAGGTCAGTGAATCTTCCAGAAGAAGCTGTGTTTTTGTGCTGTCAAAGGACCTTATGTTAATCTGGTGCCTGGGTCTCTATTATGCTCTAGGGAAAGCCTGACATAGAAAATCTGGATGCATCTTAATCCTCTCACTGATGGAGTCAGCCTACACAGGTCTCATAGACAAATCCAAGTAGTGTGAGAGATAATGTGTGTTTGATCATTAAGCCTCTCACAGAGGCTTAGACTCCTGGTGATCTTGACAGTAGTCTCAGGGCCTGTGTAAGATCTCCAGTTTCAGAGCAGTGTATTAAGAGGTTGTGTTTGAGTCCTGAGACTGTTCAGTTTCTTCTTGCAGTGACAACACAGTAAAGTGCTGGGACATGTCCTCCAGCATCCATCCATGCAGATCAAGGGTCGGGATGGCAGGCAGCTTCAAATTCTGGTCTTCTGGGAAAGAGCTGAGAGCCAGTTTGATTGGCAAACTCACAACCAACAAATAACTTACTCCTCAGCATAATTTTGAGGGCAAGCACTGTAAATACTATGCCTAATTAAGAGCAGGAGATTCTTGTTATTGTAATGATGAAATGCTATAATGCAATGGAAAGTACAGCAATATCAGCAGAGTAGCACAATCCTAGGCTACAAGAAATGAAAATGAATCCAAATGTAGCAGCCATGGACTCAAAAATAAGGGAAGAAAAATTGCTTACCTGTGGAAGGCCTCCAGTAGATAGAGATCTCCAGACAGATGCCCTCACCCTTCCCTTGCCAACCCTTAAATGAGGTCTGGGAAGGGGTGGATTCTGGGTCCACCCCTTCTGTTCTCTGGAGTACATTGCATGCACCTGAGCTGCCCTGGGTTGGCCCTGCCTTCCCACCAGGTGCTTAATCACTAGTTCAGGCCATGACTGAGCAGTTCCACAACAGTTACTTTTATTCACTCGTACTTGGAAGGTGGCTTTAATCCAATACAAATGGGGGACATGGTTGGGAAGCTGACGTGCTAGAAAAAAAGTAGCTAAAAATGATTTTACTAGTTATTTAACAGCCTTCATAAATAAATGACAGTAATGCGGGGCGTCATAGAATTTTTTCCTTTGTATTGATGCTTTTTTAGTCATTTTGTTGTAGTGTTACCTATGCTCAGTGAAAAGGGCAACCAGAGTTGATCGATTGCAGCTTTTCTTGGATGTTTTCAATGATGCTTAAGATTTTAAAGATCTCATTTCACCTTAGAAGATCATTTGAGAGCAAACTTCTGTGGTCAGCTCAGCTCCCAAGCAATATTAACATGACAAATTTTATTTTTCATGTATGTCTTCAGAGTAAGCTAAAATAGGGTAAACAGTAACAGCTGGTTGGCAGTTGAAGAAGCTGCTGTTTTTCAGCTGTCAGCTCCTTCTCTCTCCTGATGGGAAACTTCTAGATTCTCCTAGTACCAATATTTCAAGTGTCCTGCTGACCCACCTTCCTAGGATGCATTTAACATGAGCATTTTGGGTGTTACTGCACAAAAGCAGCTGCCCTCTGTTTCTTGAATACTTCTTTACCTGTATGTGTTCCCAGGATGCATGCATGGGAGTGGGACACTGGCAGGTATGCGTGATGCGTGTATCATGCCCCGCATCTTTCTCCCAGAAGCACGAAGGCCCTGTCTTTTCATGCAGCTGAGAAAGGAGCAGCGTGCACAATGAAAAAAAAAGACAGAAAATACCTGGCACCTGTTGTGGCTCGGTTAACTCCAATTCACAGTGAAGCCCAGTCTCTTGCTTCACACAGCATATGTCAGAACACACAGAACAAGTGTTTTGTGACTGAATTTTCTGTCGCTCCTTGAGGGCTGGAGTTCTTGAGAGGTCCCATGAGTGCTTTTAAAGGCATGAACAGGAGGAACTCAGGAGGGCTGTTGCACTCAGATGCCGTGTGTTCAGCAGTTTACAGTCCATTTAGAACTGCGAAGTGGACTCCACATCACTCAGTCTATAATCAGGATGTCTCTGAGAATCAGGGTCACATCCCTCAGGTTACATACCATGCAGGTGGCAGGCTGGGCATTAGCCAAGCCAGTGGGCTTTAGTTATTTTTTCCCAGTGCGTAAGAAGCAAGGCATCTGAACACTTGAATGTGAAGACAGATGTGCTCAGGGGTGCCTGCTGAGGGTGTCCTCAGTAAGCAGCTTCTTACCATGTGGTAGGTGGGACCTCACTCATCCTAAGCAAAGAGAGCAGCCAAATCGCCACCTGTGAGTGACTGTTCTGCACAGATGATCCTTTGTCCTTTCTGTCCGAATCTGGCTGAGCCTGCCCATGGGTGCTCTCTGTGCTTCAGATGTGCCATGGCTCTGGCCTATATCAGCTAATGAACTGAAGGCAGCAAAAAAAACCATAATAAGAAATAATGCAGATAGGCTACATTACTACATTACGTGGCTGTAATTAGCATAGGAACTGCTGGGTGAAGAGAGATGACTAAATTCAGGAATGCCTTCCCTCCATCTGTAGTTGTGTTGTTACCAGTTTACGGCCAGGAAGTTGATAATATCTCCAGAGGAATTTAAATTAAACTTGGAAAGGAATTGGAAATTTGGCAGGAAGTGGATGCCCCAGGCTAGAAAAGTGCCTCATGCATATGCACTGAGGTTTGTGCCAGTTTAGTACAGGTAAGGTTTACAAATGCTTTTTTTCCTTACGACTTCAGCAAGAAGAAACCCTCCCCTCTGCAAAGGAGATGGATTTGATGGTTCCCATATGTCCTGGAACAGCTGGGAATAGCTGAGAGATTCCTGTTCCTGACAGTTGTCTCTTATCATAATGTGATCTGAGAGCATAGTGCCTTCAGATAGCTGCCTCAGGTGCCCAATGCTCTGCCTTGTTCTCATTGCCATTTGGCAGAGTAACGTGGTCCTGCTCATCTAGTGCCACAGCAGTGCCCGGCTTTTCTGCCGGGCGAGTTGCCTCGTCACATTCAGCCTTGCTTAGCATCAGCTTTGCTCAGATGATGAGCTGGCTTTGTAGATACTGGGCAAATGCACTGCTTGCAGTGCTGTTTCCATGGCACAAATCTGTTCCTGCCAAATCCCGGTTTTAGGATAGCATGCTTGGTTCCTGGGTGTGCAGCGATGGGAGGAGGAAGCACGAGGGATGCCAGAGGATGAAGGCGGTGAAGATTAGCTGTCAGGGCTGGCAGCAGAGAGATTTGAGCCTGCTATGTGGAGCCTCATGGCTGCGTGGGATGGAAAGCAGTAACTTGGGTGGCAGTCAGGCTAAAATTTGGCAGGAGCAGAGAGCCTGTGTGCAAGTGTATCACTGCAAGTCAGGTAACTTCTCAAAGAAGCCTCAGAGGCCGTGGTTTAACTACTGGAATAAGCGTGAAATAGTATCTGGCTTTACCCTTGCTTTTGTAAACCAAGTTTTTCAGAAGCCATAATAGTTGCCTGGGCAACATGCAGTCTCTTCTGGTGTTCTGCCATGGCCACAGGCTTCCAAACCCTGTTCACGCAAGCCTCTCACGTAGGTTCTGACAGGACATGAGATGACCAGTGATACACTTGTCATTCCTGAGGTAAAGCTGCTAGGCATCACAAAGCTGAGCAGCACTTGGCTTTGGCAGTCAGACTGGAACCCCAGTGCTGCTGTAGTTCACACAGGTCAGATGAATTGACCTGAGCTCTTCTGAACCAAGAGATCTATCAAGCAAATGGACTGGCATGCTTCAAACAAACAAGTCAGTTGTGCTTAAGGAGATGAGATATGTGACACTAATGAAAACACTGGAATAGCACTTGCAGTCATTGTATGCAATTCAGAAATGACTGGAAAAAGCAGAGATTTCATGGATGAACCCCATCAGTGATGGAAGTTGTATGCAACAGCAAGTCTTGAAATTCACACTCCTTAATTTCAGGACAGGTTAAGAATTAACTTGTTTATTTACTTCTTTGAATTTGCTTATTGTCATATATGGTACAATAAAATCTGTGTGTCCAGGCTTCACAGTACCAAACTTGTCTTCTTGCACAACGGTTTGTAAAATGCACATTGCCTTTGCTTATTCAACAAGCTCTTTTTCTAGTGGCCATCCTTCTCTATTAGAGGGAAACTGATTTTCCAGTGCAAACGCAGTGGAATAACTTCTGCATCTGCCAGTAGAGGAGCTTCATGCATTTTTGTTCTGTTGTTTTTTGTTTGTTTTGTTTTTCTCTTGTTAGGCTAAAGAAATTCTTACAAAAGAGTCAAATGTGCAAGAGGTACGTTGCCCTGTCACCGTCTGTGGGGATGTCCATGGCCAATTCCACGATCTTATGGAACTCTTTAGAATCGGTGGGAAGTCTCCAGACACAAATTACCTGTTCATGGGAGACTACGTGGACAGAGGCTACTACTCAGTGGAAACGGTGACTCTACTAGTAGCGTTAAAGGTACGGCTGGACAGCTTGGTTTGATAACTTTGGGCAAAACTGTGCTTTGGAGGGGATATGAAAGAATTGTTCCCCCCTTGACACTGCAGTTGGCTTGAGCTAAATGGATGTAAATTGGAATTTGTTAATGGACACATGCTTTTATATAATAGGCCTGAGTGCTTGTCTGCTGCTTGAACTTCTAGTTAGTATTTCTCCATATCTTTTATACAGTTCTTGTGTTAAAGGAAAGCTGCTCTTTTTTCCCCCTTTTTTGGTCAATAGGTGCGTTACCCAGAACGCATTACAATACTGAGAGGAAATCATGAAAGCAGACAAATTACACAAGTGTATGGCTTTTATGACGAATGTCTGCGGAAATACGGCAATGCCAATGTCTGGAAGTATTTCACAGATCTGTTTGATTATCTTCCGCTTACAGCTCTAGTAGATGGCCAGGTAAGATTCCTGCCCCAAATAAACAAAACTGTTTGGTAGCACAGTGCAGTCTGTGCTGTCTGACCCATGCATGAACAATCTCAAACAAGCTGTCTTAGCTTGTGGCCAGAATTTTTTGTAAAGCCCAGGTGTTTACTGTGGGTTTGGGGAAGAATTGGGTGAACTAGTAATACAAGTTGATGGTACAACAAGGCCTCTGTTTGCTGCCTAAGGAGTGTCAGGGTATTGCAGATGCTGTTTATTTTAAAGAAGTCTTCAGCAGGTGAGAATCTCCTTATGATACATCACCTGCGAGTTGACATATTGCTGTGATACTGAAGGCACAGGATGTTTGTTGCTCCGATACTAGTGTACAATGTGCAGCCATCCAGTTTTGTTTCCATCTGAGAGAATTAAAATTTGTTTCTCCCCCGTAAGGGTAGACCACTGTAATTGCAAAATAATGGGTTAAAACCAGCTGTTTCTGAGACGAGTCTTCCCATAGCAAAAATGCATTTAATGGATTGCTCTTTTTTCCTGCAACAGATATTCTGTCTCCACGGTGGCCTCTCTCCATCCATAGATACACTGGATCATATCAGGGCTCTGGACCGCCTGCAGGAAGTTCCACATGAGGTAACAGGAAGCCAGATGCACTACAATTTACATATGTTTGTTGAAAATGCAAATGTATAGTCATGCAGAAATGCATTCACGCAGTGAGACATGCTGTTCTGCAGAAGGTTATTGCCTCAGTAAGAGCTATAGCAAATGAAAATTCATTTGGTTAAAACACACCCAAGTCAATATGCTGTGATTACAGCAGTGTGCAAAAGGACAGCTGTGAGGTTTTCACAGCTGTTTTTCACAGCAACAGATTTTCTTGACTGTTATGATGACTCAGTCATGTTGCCAAGGGAAAGTGCCCCATTGCACACTTCCTTGTGAACCAACCACCAGCACACTAAGCTGTCATGTCACTGTCCCTCCACCTCAGCCAGTCCTTTTTGTGTCTTCACCGTGTTCATTGCTACCCTCTTTCTTCTGGGGGACTTGACAAAGTTAGAGGGAGCCTATAGGACATGCTGATGTGCAGGAGTCCCATGTGGAGCAGCTGGGGAGTGCCAGTTGGACTGAAGAAACCACTCTCTGAGCTCCAAGGCTAGCAAATAGCTCTGCTGTGTTGGAATTGTTGGGGCTTACAGATGGTCTTGATCCCCCCCATGGAAACAAACTGCTTGTCCTGAAACGTGTTGGGTACAGGAGCAAGAATAGAGTGGCAAGGTCTGTCTGAGATTTCTGAAAACCTGAAATAAGCTGTTGGAATTGCCTCCAGAATTAGGAAGGAGGCTGCCTGGTGGGGCTTCTGATTGTGGATAGATGGTAATTATTGTTTTGTTACTCTGGGGTTTTCACAGTCTTATGCCGCATCTGATTGCTGAATCCGTTTCCCAAGAACGTCTGTACGTGATCCCTACCACGTAGCTTGGATCAATGGATGGGAAACAGCAGAGGGCTTTGATAAGTACTAGACAGTTTGTAGTGCCCCTGAGTTTCTTAATAGCTCAGCGAGAAAAGCTGCTGAGCTTCACTTGTGATTGTTAAAAGTACCAGGATATTTCTGAATATGTAAAATCCAATGAAGAACAATTCAGCAGAGAAAATTACATGCTTAATACCCTGCCAGAAGAACTGCTGAAGATTAACCATCAATCTTTTGATTAGTTCATAGCTTCATGTGGATAATTTCCCTTCCATTAATTTATTACAAGTTGGCTGGCACTGATGAACCCTTTGTGTATCCTCGGACTTGCATACATGTTTTCCTGTGTGGCCTTTATTATACTGTGAGAGTCAGGAAGAAGCACGTGGATCTGTTCTGCACATCTTTGCAGCTCTGGCTAGGTGAAGCGAGCTGGTAAGCAGTGTGTGCTGGAGGTGGCCACACAGTTCTCTGGTAGTACAGACTGCTCAGCTGTGTGCGTATTCATTCCTTGTGAATGGATGTTGACTGGAGTAACTATTGCTAGATAAACATATGTGGCTTATGCAGAGAAGAACATGCAGGCAGGCTTTTTACTGTAAATATTTAAAGTTGTATTTTTATAACTATTTTGTAATCATGATGAAAACTAACAAAGAACACTCACTTTTTTTCAAGGGTCCAATGTGTGATCTGTTGTGGTCGGATCCAGATGATCGTGGCGGCTGGGGTATATCTCCACGTGGTGCCGGCTACACATTTGGGCAAGACATTTCTGAAACATTTAACCATGCCAATGGTCTTACACTGGTTTCCCGTGCTCACCAACTTGTCATGGAGGTAGGGGAAGCACTGTCGGCTGGACAGGCAAAAAGAAAAAAAAGGTAGATGTAAATTCTTGTCTCTTGTGAGACCTTCGGGTGCATTTGCACGAGCTGACACATAAAGGTGAGGCAGGTAAGTTCCTAAGAGAGATTTCAATCATGTTAAAACAACAGGCTATGTAAAAGGATGATGCTTTGACCTGCTCTGTAACTAAGCACATTGCTAGAGACCCTGCCATGCCCTGTTTGTTGAAGTAGTAATCTTCTTACATGCCGTATTAAACAGGCTGCCCTATAGTACGCAGTAGTCAGATATGTCAGGGATTAAGCCTTAACTTTGGCTGCTTATGGTGTATTCTTTTATGTCTTGATGGAAAAATGCCTAGTGGGTCAATGGAGCAGATTTATTTTTACATCTCATTCAAGCAGGTCTTGTAAGGAGTAGCGTCAGAATTCCCTTCCAAGTGAATTGGCAAAATTCATTCGAGGTGAATGAAAGCTGAGGGTTCAGCTGAAATCTCTAGTTTTCCTTCTTGTGTAATCCACAATTTTCATACAAACCCATCAGTGGCAAATAGCCAGCCTCCATATAGAATGGCTTAAATTATTCTCGCTAGGTAAACATTGCTTGCAAACACCACTTTGTTGATGTTGTAGAGTGCCTTTTGAAATTGGAACTACCTGGAAGGAACCTACCGTTTCACAAATAGCTTGAGGCTTGTTGTTTGAGGAAATTCAGATGGACTGAGGGTTGATTTAACAGAGACTTCTTTTCTCTTTTTCCTGGCAGGGTTATAACTGGTGCCATGACCGAAACGTGGTGACCATTTTCAGTGCGCCCAATTACTGCTACCGCTGTGGGAACCAGGCCGCTATCATGGAACTAGATGACACTTTAAAATATTCCTTGTAAGTAACATGCTTCAAGCAGTTCTCTTCCTGCTTAACGGTTCCAGACTAGGAGGAAAGTCTGATCCTTTCCAAAGGGGTCCTTTCATGAAAACCTAGTTCAAACTGCTCTGGAACTTAAGTCAAGCTATAAAAGGAGCTACTTAAGCTCTTAAAAACGTTTCTTAGGTACTGCTTTGTCTCCTTTTCCTGGTTCTGAAACATTGGAGCTTCTGCAGGGCCAGGCCGTGTTTGCTCCTGTGAGCAGTATTTCTACCAGCAGATGAGTTTGCCTCCTGCTGGTCATCAGTTTGGGGACCTGCTACATCCTCTGGATTTAGATTTGGGGTTGTGGGAGATCTGGGACACTTCAGGTGGTAGCAGCTGGGAAAATAAAGTGCCAGCAGCAGGAGAGCAAGTCTTGTTTGCAGTATTGGAAACTGCCTTGTGTGGAAGAGCAATGACCCCTTTTTCTTTCCTGCAGCCTTCAGTTTGACCCAGCACCTCGTCGTGGAGAGCCTCATGTCACCCGTCGTACCCCAGACTACTTCCTATAAACCTCTCATAACCTTTTAGAAGGAAGTACGCCTGGTGTTTTAAAGAGCAACAATATTTACTTGTTTCTGTCAGAAATCGGGGTTCGTCTCTACTTATAATCCCCTTCATGGACCAAAATGTGCCATACTGAGGACGAAGAGCGTTCAGCACAACTTGAGACTGAATTCCTTACAACACTATATATCCTATACCAATCAGTCCAACAGTCAGTTTGCCTGCTGTATTGTAGTCATTTTTTGTTGGTTTTTTTTTTCTGGACTGTTCAGAGAGGACAAGGTAACTCAAACGCTTCCATCTCCTTTTATGCTTATTTGTAAATTTTTAGTTCTAGTGGTTAACTGGCATGAATTAGCGTTTCGGAGTTCATTTTTAAGGGAAATGCACACTAACTTCTTTACCCCACCACTCTTGATTTTACTGAAAGACAAGCGCCTGAAGTGGAGCAGGCCAGGCTGGCCGAAGCCCCGGGCGGCCCGGCCCAGGGCGTGCAGCCCTGCCCCCGGCAGGGGTCGGGGCTTAAGGCCCCTTGCACCCCCTGCCCTTCTGCGCTGCCAGGAGAAGGGGAGCGATTCCTGCTTTTGGGAGTACGTTGTCATAACACGGAATAAAGCGTTCCCTTTTTAGCTCGATTCCCGTCCTGTGTTGTTCCCGCCTCCGCGTACTTGTCACGGCCGCGCTTCTCCCGCTCGCTGTACCTGAACAATAAACGCCCTTCTCAGCCCGAGCCGTGGTGCTGCGCTCTCGGGGGCGGGGCTGGGGCGGCGCCGGGCGGGAGGGCGGCCTGTGGCTGAGCCATGGCGGCGGCCGCGTACGAGCTGCTGGTGCTGGGCGGCGGGTCGGGGGGACTGGCGGGGGCGCGCCGGGCGGCCGAGATGGGCGTCCGCGTCGCCCTGGTGGAGCCGCGACGCCTCGGCGGCACCTGCGTGAGTTGGGCGGAGGCGGCGGCCCGGGGGAGGCGGCGGGACGCGATTAGCGGGCAGGGATGTACCAGTGGTCAGGAAAACGGCTCGTCCGCTGGGCGGCTCGCTTGGGGAGAAGCGGCGGCGGTGCGCTTCCCCTGCCGGAGCGGCCGTGCGGCGGACGCTGCCCGAACGGGGCCGCAAACGGCGCTCTCTGTGGACCTCTCGTGTTCTACCTTTGGACCGCGAGCACCGCCGACCTTCAGTGCTCAGCCTCGAGGAAGCGGAGGGCTGTTACACAGCACGAGGGACGCGGCGCCCCGCTCGGCTCCGGGCCATGAGACGTGGCGTGCAGCGCTGCCGGAGCATCTCCTTGTCCAAGTCGTGCTCACAACCTGCCCTTCTTCCCTCCTAGGTCAACGTTGGGTGCGTGCCAAAAAAAGTGAGTGTGATTTTTTTGTTGTTTGCAACGTTATATTCTGGATCAGTTTCAGCCCCGGCACAGAGTCCGGTGCCTTGGGTTTGGCCCTGAGCGAAAGGCGGATAACTGCACCGAGGTCAGGGCACAACCTACAGAGAAGGGCGTGGGGAGGAAGCAGTGCTTGCAGAGCATTGCACAACTGCACCTCCCTGGGGCACCCAGATCCCTGTCCCGTGAGCGGGTCCGGGCAGAGGGGTGGCATCAGGAAGCGCTGCCTGCACGCAGCCAAGCTAAGATCCCGGTGGTGCAAGCCAGTGAAGCCGCTTGTATGGCCTTGCACGCAGAGGGTGGTCACAGTCATGCAGCTGGTGTTTGCTGCGGCAGACCTCGGGGCTCCCGCGGTGTTTGCAGTTCTCCTGAAACTACAAGAGCCTGCTGGGTGTAATAGGCTCATCCTGAAGCCTGCTGCACCAGGGCACTGAGTGGGCCGTGCTCTGTGTGAGCAGGTGATGTGGAACACTGCCATGCACGCCGAGTTCATTCACGACCATCCTGACTATGGCTTCGAGATACCTGGTGCCAGGTTTAACTGGAGGTGAGGCTCAGGCTGGGTGGGGTTGGGTGCCAACCCCAGTGGGGAAAGCACCTGCCTGCTGTGCAACTCACACCTGTTTTATTTTGGACCTCCTTTGCCATGCGGTGAGACTCATTTCAGATGAGCTCTGCAGCTTCATTAGTTGGCGGTGACAATAAACTTCCATCTTTTTCCAGGACCATTAAGGAGAAGCGTGATGCTTATGTGAGACGCCTGAATGAGATCTATGAAAATAATTTAACCAAGGTGTGGATGCTCTTATTCCCTGAGCCTGGCATGGAAGCAGTCTTTTCTGTCTATTTTCTGTATTTATTCTGCTAATGCGATGCCTGGGCTCCCTGCTATTGCTCCACAGGCTCGCATTGACATCATCCGTGGCTATGGCAAGTTCACCTCTGATCCGGAGCCCACCATCGAAGTCAGTGGGAAGAAGTACACGGCTCCTCACATCCTCATTGCGACAGGTGGGCGCCCATCGGTCCCTCCTGACTCTGAAGTTCCCGGTGAGTAACCACATAGCACAAGCAGGAAGCAAGTGATGTGGCTGCAGGAAGCTTTCTGGAGTTATCCATGGTAAAATCACCGTGCTGCTTTGCAGGTGCCAGCCTTGGTATAACCAGTGATGGGTTCTTCGACCTGGAAGAACTTCCCAGGTACGGTGGGATATCTCCCATCCCGGTGACGCAGTGGAGAGGTGAATCCCAGAGCTTGGTGGCTTCTCAGTGGCTCCAGCTGATCACCTTGCTCTTCTCAGCTCTGCCCTGGGAGGTTGCATAGGCTGTTCTGCAAGGCTCTCACTGTGGTGGCACCCAAGATGAACTACTTGGTTTGGGCCCAGGAGAAGCTGCCAGGTTTCTAATGCTTGTCAGGCTCCAAATATGTGCACGTGGCATTCTTGCTTCTCTGCAGGCACAGCGTGGTCGTTGGTGCAGGGTACATTGCAGTGGAAATCGCAGGGATCCTCTCCACACTGGGCTCCAAGTCCTCCTTGCTTATTCGTCGGGACAAGGTACTGCTGCTGGCCATCCCCATGGCAGCCACATCCCAGCTGCTCACACGTCTCTGGCAGGTTAGCCAGGGAAGCTGTGGGTGGAGGCAGAGCAGAGGCATGCTGCTGAGCCCATCCCTGCAGCTGTAGAGCATGCAGAGCTTTTCTGTAGCAGTGCGTGCCGTGGGATCTGCTTCCTTCAGCTTCATGTTGAATCATAGCTTGAAGAAAGCAAACTAAGGAAGATTAAAAAAACAAAGAAATGCTTTACTATGAAGCAGAAGCGTCCCAGCCTATTTGTGACAGAGTGGGGCAAGAAAACAGGCAGTAGGGAGATGGAGGTGGATAGGGCCATCAAGCATCCTAGTGTGTGGCCTATCATCTCAGAGGGCTGCATGGTCCCTGCCTAGGTCCTGAGGACATTTGACTCGCTCATCAGCACAAACTGCACGCAGGAGCTGGAGAACATTGGAGTTGATGTCTGGAAGCACACACAGGTATGGGTGCTCACGGGGGACAAGATGAGGTTGGATTTGGTGATCTTGATGGTCTTTTCCAACCTGAGCAATTCTATGATTCTGAGATGGATGGGGTAGCACCCCAAGCAAGGGTGGTTGCTTACCCACCCTACTGGCACCATCCCATCATGGCACCTGGTTGCCCCCGCAGGTCCAGGCTATCACCAAGTCCCCCACTGGCTTGCTGGAGGTGAAGGTGACATCCTCTGAGCCTGGGCACAAGCCAACCGTGAAGGTGATCCATGATGTGGACTGCCTTCTGTGGGCCATTGGGCGGGAGCCGAACACAGAGGATCTGTGCCTGGAGCATGTGGTGAGACAGAAATATGTCCCCTTACCCTTAAGCATCGCCATCCTTGGGCTGCAGAGCTTCTTGGTGCCGTGTGGGACCATAAAAAGTCTGGCACATTCTTGCCAGGCTCAGTTCCTCCACCAAGGGACCTTCACATTGCTGTGAGGACCACAAGGTTCTAAGTGCTGACATGGCTGGTATTCCTCTGGCAGGGTGTGAAAGTGGACGCCCAGAACCATGTGGTGGTGGATGAATTCCAGAACACCACCAGAAAGGGGATCTATGCCATCGGAGATGTTTGTGGCAAAGCCCTTCTGACCCCAGGTGCGTACCGGTGCTCTCCATCCCCTTGTCCCCCAGCAGAGCCATGCCTCACATTCCCTGTCCCTCTCCTTAGTGGCCATTGCAGCTGGGAGAAAGCTGGCACTTCGGCTCTTTGGTAACCAACAATGTGCCCGGCTTGACTACAGCAACATCCCCACTGTCGTCTTCAGCCACCCACCCATTGGAACTGTGGGCCTCACTGAAGGTAGGGGTGGGAGAACACGCAGAGAGGCATACAGGTCTTAAATCAGTGCCTGTGTGGAGAAACAGGCCAGGGAAACTGATGTGCAGTGCTTTCTGCTGCAGATGAAGCTATCTCTGTGTATGGGAAGGACAACGTGAAGATCTACTCCACGTCATTCACCCCCATGTACCATGCAGTCACCCAGAGGAAAGTGAAGTGTGTGATGAAACTGGTGTGCGCTGGCAAGGAGGAGAAGGTGTGTAGAAGCAGATAGTGGTATCCCCACCTAGGAAGATGCAGGTCCCCTTGTAGGATCTCACTGCAGGGAACACCATGGGCTGTCTGGGTGGGGGGCCACCAGTCGTGGTAGTGTGACTCCTGGCTGTGAGTCTGGTCTCACTGGCTTCTTGCTTCTTCCTCAAAGGTGGTGGGGCTGCATATGCAAGGCCTGGGCTGTGATGAAATGCTGCAGGGCTTTGCTGTGGCCATCAAAATGGGAGCCACCAAGGCTGACTTTGACAACACAGTTGCTATCCACCCCACCTCTGCAGAGGAGCTGGTGACAATGCGCTGAAGTGTGGAGATTAACTGCTGAAGCAGAGGAGCCACTCCTTGCCTCTTGCCAGCACTTCCTGTGTGCAAATTAATCACATGAGCAAATTTCATCCCTTTCTCTGAAAATTTGTCCTGGGTTGTAGGAAATATATTTTTCCTTTCTTAAAAAGCATCTAAACATCAGCCGAGTACTTGGAGAGTAATGCAGTGGTAGAATCAGCATGGTGTGACCCATAGTAGAAAATAAATGCAGTGATGCTGGCAAACCTTTGCCTTGTGTGTTGTAATTGCTGTCCTGTGCTGTACCATACAGGGTAGGAACGAGTGCTGAGGCATCATCTCAGCCATAAGAGGCAAAGGCAGGGAGTCACCACGGGGTAGCAAAGGGACGGGGCCAGGATTGCAAACTGTGTGCAAAATGAGCTTCCTGAAGTTCACCAAGGCCAAGCGCTGCAGGGGGTTTGACCTACGAGGCTCCTAACTCGCCCTTCCAGCCGCCGCCACTACGCGACTCCGGGGCCCGGGTTTGGCGCTGAGACCCCAGGGCGCCTGCGCGGTGCGGCCGCCATCTTCCCTCCGCCCTCCATTCCTTTTCCGGCCGTGGACGGCGCCAGCGGCGCGGCGCTGAGCTGCGCTGCGCTGCGCTGCTAGTGTGGCTGCAAAGAGGCCGGAGCCGGGGGATGAAGGCAGGGGGCCCGGGGCTGCGCTCTCCGCCTCGGCATCGCACGTGGGCCGGACGCTGGGCAAACGGAAAAGTAAAGCAGTGCACACTGTGATGACTGCTGGAGCAGAGAATGCAGCTGGGTGAGCAGTTTGGGGCTCGGCGGCAGAGGCGAATTCTTGCCTTGCAGCGGCTCAAACCCAGGCTGATTTGGTTGGCTTGGGGACCCAGTGAGAGTAACTGAACTGTGCCTTCCCACCTCTTGAAAGCAGAGATGGAATCCTGCATTTCTGAGGCTTGAAAACGGGCTCATTTGGCCGCTGTTGGACCACAGTCTGCAGTCCATCACACAGTTTTCAGCCTCTGTTACAAGAGCACTGGGATGCTGTGGGAGCTTGAGAACGGAGACTAAGCGGCCTGTTTTTGGAACTCAGAACCAGTTTTGGGGGCTCAGACACTGAACCCAGGTGTGCTGCCTTGAGCAAAGCCCCAGGACTGGCTGTGTGCAGACAGCAGCAGGTAGAGGTGCTCTCAACCACAGCACTGGTTGTGTTGTCCCCAGAATGCAGGGCATTGGTGTGCACTGGGCTGAACCCACATGAGAGACTCTCTGGATAAAACATGACTTTTCAGCTCAATTGCTTACTCAAATGTTTGAACAATGCCCAGAATAGTTACCAACGGGCCTGTGTAGTACAACAGTTAGAAAACGATGGTAGCTTGTATTAGTATTCACGTTGTGACAATGACTGATTTATGGCCTTTTCAAAAGCCCAGACTGTTGAAACAAGCATGAGCTAGAAGCAAATGAGCCAGAGCCGCAGCAAGCTAGAGACTGCTAGAACCAGAGACAGCAATTAATGGTAGATGCAGGGAGCCAGAGGTGTCCAGGACTAATTAATCAATCAATTCAACTGACTACTAAGTGGTTTACAATGTATAACTATGACATGCAACATTACAGGTATGACAGTGATTGATTTATGACCTTGTCTAAAGCCCAGATTGTTGCAGCAAGCATGAGCTCTGATGAGCTGGAGACATCCACAACTAATAAATCAGCAAAAGCAAAACCTAGTTTCTATCTATACAGTGTACAGCTATGACATTCAGTAGTAATAATCAAGTTACGACAGTGATTGATTTGTAATAAAGCCCAAACTGTTTTAACAAGCATGAGCTGTAGTTACCTGGAGCCAAAATAGAGCTGGAGAAGTCTAGGAGAATTCCAGTCCACAAGCTGGAGCTGCAAACAAACTGGAGAGAAGCACAGCTGCCTGCAAACCAGAGACGCAGCAAGTTGAAGACATCCAGGGTTAATTAGCCTGCAAATACAAATTAAGTTAGTCAGTATCTATACAGTACACAACTAAGACATTCAATATTAACGTTCAAGTTACAATAGTGATTGATTTACAACCTTGTCTAAAGTCTAGTTTAACAATTTTAATTGCATGAGCTATGACTACCTAGACATAGAAATGAGCCCAAACTACAGTGAGTTGGAGGCATCCAATGAATTGTAGATGCTGGGAGCTGGATGTTTCCAGGCCTGATTAATCAAGAAATCTAAAATAAAAATAGCTAATCCACAGTTTATGACATACAACTATGACATACCATACTGAAGTTGTGACAGTGATTACTTATAACCTTGTCTAAAGCCAGGCTGTTTTTACAAGCACTAGCTGCATTCTGTTCAGAAAGAAGCAAAATTGCTTCTAACAGGTTCTTGGCAATCCCAGGAGAAGTATTTGGAGATAAACCAATAGTCACATGCCAAAAAAAGAGCTGAACTCATAGAAGTGATGAAGGAACTCTTCAGCTATAAAGCCCTCCTCTGCAGCAAGCAACCCAACTCCAAGAGATAGTTTTCAGTACAAAAGGGGCTCATATAAGGGTCGGCTCTTCAATAGCTGACCCTTCTGTGAGCCCAGGATACCTCCACCCTTCTGGTCAGATGGGGAGCACAGGTGCAAACAATTTGCCTGTGCTCCCTGGGACAGCCACTCCCTTCACCAGGCGCTCAATCACCATTTCAAGCTGTGACCCAACAGTTCCCCTGCAATTGTAATGAGCCGGAGCTGAAACCGAGCTGGAGGTGAAATGAACTGGGGATACAATAAACAAGAGACTTCCTGGACTAAACATAGCCATAAGCTGGAGCTGCAAATGAGGTGGAGAAATCCAAGGTTAATTAATGAATACAAACTAATTAGCTTCTGTACAGTGTATAACTGTGAACTGTAATATTCTGACAGCAATCGACTTACAGATTGCACCAAGTCCAGACTGCGGTTACTTGGTGCTGGAGGTGTCCGTGCCCGGTGCGGTGCCTCAGGGAGGTGCGCAGTACGGAAGCGCGGGCTGGGCTGTCCCCTGCACGGAGCCGAGGTGATGTTTGCAATGGGAGAACGAAATCCTGCAGCCGGGGGCACAGTCAGATCCCTCCCTACTGGAGCACGCGGACACGGCTGCGAGCACGTGCCAGCTCTCGGGAGCTGCGCTTCCAGCAAGGCGGGCCCTGTCGCGCACCACGGGCTGGAGCCACGGGCTGGAGCCTCCGGCAGGGAAGGCGAAGAGCTGCTCGATTTCCCCGAGCCCCGCTGGTATCGGGAGGCGGGAGCCGGGTGGAAGCGCGGCTTCGGGGCCGCGTCAGGCCTCGATCGATATTTACTTTGTACCGCCAGCCAGGAGCTGCCTCTTGCCACCAGCCCGAGGCCGAGCTGTGAGGATCCGTGCCGAAGGATGCGTCGGCGGACGGACGGGGGAACAGTTAGGAGGAAGGGGCCCGGGGCAGCTCCAGGACCGCCCGAGGGCTGCCGCCCCGGTCGCGCCTCGCGGCGCCACGCGCCAGCTCTGCCAGGAACAGCACTGCAGTGCAGCGCCCTCTTCCGGTTGCGCCGAGACCCGCAGCGCCCCCGGCTCGGAAGCCTCCAAGGGACGGCGGCGGTTTCGCCCTGCGCTGCGGCGCCCCCTGGCGGGCACTGCGCGACACAACGCCCCGTCGCGCGGGACGGTGCCAGGAGCGGTGCGTCCCGCCCTGCCCTCCGCTGCGGGGAAGATACGGGGAAGCGGGCATGGTGGGGGGAGGACAGCTTAGCGACACGCAGACAGGCGCGGGCTTTCGGTCACCCTTTTATTAGCACCGTGACAAGTGCGACCCCTCGCCCACCCGGCCGGCGCCGGGACCCGCCCGCAGGTTCCTGGCGGGCAGCTGTCAGCTGTCAGGGCTTAGGGGATCACCACTGACCCCCAAACCCCCGCACCTTCACGCAACGTCCGTCTCCAGCACATCTTCACTCCTCGAGGGCACGTTCTTGTTCAGCGTCTCCATCTCCTCTTCCTTCCTCTTCCTGCGCTGCTTCCGACAGTGGCTTTTGAGGGGACAGGAATGAAACAAATGAGCAGAATGAGGCATCAGTGATGCCCCGCGCCCCTCCCAGCAGGTCAGACCCCGCATCCCACACCCAAATGGCACCTGGCCATGCCCAAGGGCCGCGCACGCTGCTCCCGCCCCAGCCCCACGTACTGAGCACAGAGGCAGATGCAGATGACAAAGACGATGAGGGTGACGATGGCAGCGATGAGGGAGATGACCACGATCTGGCCCCGGTCGCCTCGCAGGTAGAAGATGTCCACCTGCTCACACCGTGCCCCCGTGTAGCCTCGCTCGCACCTGCCCCACAGCACATGGGACAACAGGGCTCCAAAAACCATCACACCACCTGCTGCCCATTCCCAGCAGTGTGCTGTCCCCCCATGCCACCACATCCCCTCCACTGGCAACTTACATGCAGGCCGGAGCTGCCTCGGCCACGAGGAAGCGGCAGCGTCCCTTGACGCAGTAGTGCCGGTACTCCTCGGGACACCGGGAGAAGTGTCCCCGCCGCCGCATCTGCGTCACATTACCTGCAGGGACCAGGATGGGATGCAGCGGGGACCCCGAGCGTGGCCTGCTGCCGGCTCGCGACCTTGGCCGTCGCCGGCCCAGCGCCTCTGTGCTGATAAGCGGCAGCTGGCCTCTGCGCCAGACAAAACACGGCAGCTTCCCGCTCCGCTCTTACACCTCCTCACCTGCACAGCCCTCGCAGGGCAGCTCTTCGGTCACATTGGTATCAGCACCCACGCAGCTGAAAAGTGCCAGGCCTGGAATGAAGGAGAGCGGCTGAGCAGGGACAGGGAGGCTGACAGCCATGGGGAGGGGACCTTTTGCCTCACCAGCATCAGCTTTTCTCCAGGTGGGGAGGGATGGATGCCGCTGCACACCTGTAGGCACCCAACCATGGCCCATTGCAGCCTGCACGCTGCCCGTGCCGTGGTGGTGCGACCTGGGGGGTCCAGAGGGACAGGAGCCAACAGGAAGGGTTTGGGGGACATGAGGAAGGCTGGCAGAGCCCCAGGTAGCCAGGTGGCCTCTTTGGAAGAGCCTGGGTGTTCAAAAACTGTGCTGGTGGTGGGAGGAGGTAGCTGAGCTGCAAACCAGCCCTTGTGGCTTCAGGTATCACTGCACCAGCACCAGGTGCTGTGATATCCCTGCTGCTGCTGCAGGGGGATGTCCATCAGGGGGCAAACCTAGGCACTCACCCTAATTGTGTCACTTCATGTGCTCAGATGGGAAAGGGGCAGTCGCCCTGGCCCTAGCCTTAAGGCAGTTTAAGGTGGTGCAGTAACCAGCAATGACCCAGCACAGCCCTACTTCCCACAGGACAGGTCCTGCTGGTGGGGCCAGTGCTCACCAGGGCAGCATGTTACGAGGGGCACATCCTCATCATGTGGGGAAGGGTGGGCGGTTGTGCTGTGCCACTTGGACACCTGGCCTGCCTGCCAGTGCCCTGTGGTAGTGGTAGAGGGACTAACTGGGCAATCTCCCGAGTCCCCCAGCCAGCAGCAGAGCCTTTCCTGGCTCTGTGTCCCTCCAGGCTATATATAGGCAGTGCTGCTGTAACTGCACACGTCGTGTGACCAAACGCCAATAAGCTTGGGTGCAGTCTCCAGCATGAGAGCTGAGGCCCGGCTGCCCCCCCAGCACCAGCTGCGGGCTGACTTCACCCCAGCATGGGACAACCTCGGCAGGGCAGCTTCCCCACCCTTACGGCAAACAGCTGCCACAGCTGCCCTCCTGCAAGCCTCCCTCAGGCAGCCTCCCCTCAGCAGGGCGGTGGCATGGGGATGATGTGGGTAATAGCAGCCCTGTGGGGTCTCTGGCAGCCAGCTCTCAGCCCACCCAGCACAGATGTCCTTCCAAGGCTGGATCCCACAGTCATCATCTGCCTGTGCTGGGCACTATGGCTCCAAAACAGGTCAGGCACCATTCCCCTGTGTGGGTGTGGGCTGGGCAGAGCACGACGCAGCCCCGCCAAAGGGCCAAGCCCTGCGCTGCTCATGGCAGCAGGCACATCTGGGACCCAGGGGGCTGCCTGCTGCCTGAAATTAGGTGGGGTGATGGGCAGCAGTGGGGCTGTGCTGCTCCTGAAGGCAGCCAAACCAAATGACTTTGTAAGGGTGGCTCTGGGGCAGGATGCCTCCTCATTTAGTGCTGGAGAAGCACCTCTGCTCCGACACAGGAACCTGCGGGGCAGGCACTCGCTGCCTAGTATCCTTTATCGCTGGTGCTGCTTAGGATGGCAAAATACATCCACGCATCCACATATCCACGCACCCAATGGTCCACCAGCACCGAGGCTGCCTGCGGGCAGGGTCCCGCTGCCGGATGGCAGAAGCGTCCCATCTCCACTCCAGGGAGGTGTCAACCCGAGGGACTCAGCACGGGGAGCACCGCGACGGGACCGGGGAGGGATCACGGGGCACGGCATGCGGGGCACGGGGATGGCAACGGGTAGGCACCGGGAAGAACGGGATGGGACGGGACTGGGAGTACGGGGTGCGAGCACTCCAGGACCGTGCGAGCCCCGAGTCGGGACGGACTCCCCCGCGCGGCCGCGGTGCCGCCGCTTACCGGAGGCGAGAGCCAGGCACAACAGCAGGGGTCCGGGACCGCCGCCCGGGACCGGGACCGCCGCCGCTTCCATGCGCGCCGCAGCCTCAGCCTGCCCGGTGCCCGGTGCCCGGTGCCCGGCGGCCGCGGCGGGGCGGGACGGGGCGGGACGGGGGCGGCTCTGCCTCCTCCTTCTCCCGCTCCCCCCAGCGGCGCGGAAACCCACGGATGGGACCCCCGGAGGGGATCTCCCCGCCTGCACTCTGTGCGGGGTGTCCCGAGCACTACAAAAAGGGGGTTCGTTCGCACCCGCCGAACACCTTCACGCAGAGCCTCGGGTTGCCGTGCAGGGCTGCGGGTGCCAAGAGAGTGGCACATCCCCGGGGCGGCCTCCTGGCTCATCCGCGCCCGCATGAGCTCAAGGGGAGGAATGACGGGCTGGAAAGAAAGCGGTGACCTCACGCCGCGGGATGGCGGCTGTGAACGCGGCGCTGGCAGCCGCCCCGCTTGGCCGCTCGCCTGGGCTCCGCTCCCGCAAACGCCCGGCTGGTGGGCGGTCCTGGCGGCCCGCGTGTGCCTCGTCCTGGGTCCCTCTGAACGGGCCGTGTGGGCCCCCGGGCAGCAGGGGTGTGAGAACCCTCTTCCGTTAGGGGAACCCTATCTATTTCCAGCACAGCAGCTCGGATATCCTATATTTACCGCATGCTGTAGTTCCTGCGGTCTCCCAGGCATCGGCTCTCGGATATCTGACCGAGCCTCGTGTACGCCACCCGAGGGCCGAGCTTCTCGGCTCTTTCAGCCATTCGTCTTTTGTGCGCTACTACTTCTAGAACTCCCCAAACTCAGCAGTCCCTCCTGCTTAGCAAGCTCTCTGTGTTCTTTTCCTCTTCAGCATCCTCTTTCTCCTCAGCATTTTTTATTTCACCTCTTTAGATCTCAGAACCCTTCCTTGCCAGCGGCACTGCTAAGACGGCTGCCCACATCTCAGCCATTCCCTTCTGCCCCCAGAAATGGAAGAGACTTCCAGCTGAGAGGGTGCAGGAGGTCAAGAGAAGCCGATGGCGGGTGAATTCCCCAAACAAAAAAGTCAGAGAACCTCTTAAACAGCAAACGTGCCAAAGAATCTGTTGCTAATGACCGTGCCAACAAGACTAGGCGGGGGAAACCCGTGCCGGTGACACCTGGTGAGGTGAGCACGCAGAAGCGGCCAATGCCAATGAAACCAGGAGGAGGCGGCTATGCAGACGGCAGCTGGAGCCAGAGGACGGTGCCTAAGAAAGGTCTCCGAGGCTTCTCACGGTTTCCGCGTGGGGTTTGCAGCCAGGGCGATGCCGAAAGTGGGGGGAGCGGTGGCTGCGCGATGCCGGTGCCAGCAGGTGCCGCTGCGCTCTCGGTGCCGCTGCGGGCGGCGAGCGGGGCGGGGAGCGGGGCGGGCGATGCCTCCCCCCGCCTCCTCCCTCCATCCCTGCCTCCCTCCCTCCGTCCTCGGCCGCTCGCGCCGCCGGGACCATGGGCTGCTGCTGCCGCCTTCTCCTCGCCCTCCTCCTCCTCCTGCCCGCAGGTGAGCGGTGGAGACGCGCGTGGGAGGGGAACGCGGCGGGACACCGCGCTGCTCGCCCTCGTGGGGCGAGGGGCGCTCCGAGGCTGTGTGGAAAGCGGCCCTCCTGGCCGCGGGTCCTGGGGGCAGCCGGGATGCGTTCAGCCCGGAGCCGCGCGGGTCCGCGGGTACCCACAGAGGCGCGCTTCGGAGCGTCCCTGGCCCTCGGGAGGTTTTGGGGGCAGCTCGGGGAGCGGTAAAGCGCCTGGCGGAGCTGCGAGTCCCGCGCAGGGACAAACGCGTTGGGCGAAGAAGCGTTTAGCGGGACCGGAGCCGTGCCTGGCTGGGTGAGGTGCGGGAGCACTCAGCCATTCGGGGACCAAACGGCCCGGAGCGGGTCAGCTGTTCCTGGGACGTCTCCAGCCGAGCGTCTCCCACCTGCAGTCGCTGGCAGTGCTGAGGCTGGGGACGCGTTGTTCCCAGTGCGGTATCCCATAGCAGCATTGGTGGGACCCTGTGGAAGACCCCTGGGAAAATTCCTACTCCGTGCCTCTTGGGATGCACAAGAGCACGAATCTTTTGGATGCTTCCCATATGTATATATTATTATTATTATTTTCTCCATTGAAATAGTATTTACAAGAAAAACAAAACCAAACAAAACCCCAAACTCTTCCACCTTTAAAACAAAATAAAACCAACATAACCAACAGTACAGATTATTATTTAAATATGCTCTGAGCTCGTTCTTCAGGAATTAGTGACAGAGAGAACACAGCTTGGCAAGTACCAAATATTATCAGGCTTTTTCCTGCCCCTCTAATGAGATAACAGCATCTCTCACACTGCGTTTGAGAAAAGGAGGGAGAAGTTTTTGCCATTCCTTTACTCAGAAGGCAGGACACCGGACCAAAGTCCTGTCAGAGCCATCTCAGCACCTTTATTCTTCTTCGTTAGAGCTCAGGACCAGCAAGACACAAAGCAAATCTCTGCAGTCACTCTGACCCTGCAGGGGGAACCTGTCCCACAGCTGCTGCTCCCCCATAACAGCACCCATCACAAAAGGTGCATCCCCTCATTGTCACAGGGGGACAGGGACCACCAGAGCCAGAGGATCCCTCCATCCTCATTGCCCCTTAGGCTGCCTACAGAGAGGCAGCTGCTGCTCCCTGGGTTGGAAATATCCCCACAGTGAGCGCTCTGAACCAAGACCCCTGTGGATTTCTCCCTGGGCAGTACCCAGGCAGGCAGAGGGATGCCTGGGACAGCCTCTCCCAAGGGGACAGACACAGGAGAGCAGGTGAGGAACGCAGACAGCATGTTTGTTTCCATTGCGTGTCTGTTTCTTTGAACTACAGAAAGCTTCAGGCTTGGGAGCAATTAGGCTTAACCCATTTAATGACCATGCAGGAAGCCAGCCCAGCTAGCCATTAAGTCAAAGCAACCAAGGGTACATGTGATCTGAGTGCCAGGGATTTTTTTTTTTCTTTTTCACTGAAAGCTTTGTTATTGCATTTGCATTGGACCCTGTCTTTCTCCTCCCCTCAATGCCCTCCCCAGATGTTGTGGGGCTGTCAGCACAACCTAGCTGCGCAGTGGGAGCTGAGGCCGCCCAGCTCCTTGTGTTCTCAGAAAAAGCAGGAATCCAGGCAGAACCCAGCGCTGTCTGCATGTGCTCACATGAGGGAGATCTGCACCACAGCTGCAGGTTGGCAGTGTCAGGCTGGGAAGCAGAAGCACCGTAACCTGACCACAAGCAAGGAGAAGGGACAGCAGAAAAGGAGAAGCAGCAGCAGAACGGCACAGGAAAGCATTGGTCACAGATATGAAGGCTCAACTAACGAGGTTACAGGCAGGAAACCCTTGCCCTATATTTAAGTATATAGTGTTTTACTGTTCCACACAGCAATAAAGCACTGCGTGCTGTAGGAGCAAGGGAGTCAGGGGTCACTCTACCACTTCCTGCTGAGAGCTTGCATAGCATGTATCTGTGGGTAAGGAGCCACTGAACTCCTCATCCAGAGCAAGCGTTCTTGGTTCAGAAGGGTCAGCTGCTTCTCCAAACACAATGCATGAATAAACCATCCCAAGCTATGTATTTTCACATAGCACTGCCAGCATTTATAATTTATCACCCATAAAGCTCTCTATATACTCTCAGCAGCAACAGCAGCTGCAGCCAGCAGCTTTTGTAATAGGCCTCACTCTGCTCATAGCCCCCAGCACTCTGTGGTGCATGGGGCTGCGGCAGCATCTGCCTCTGGGGGGATCCTGAGGGCAGATGTTGAGGCTGCCCTTAATTTTTGCTTACAGATCTAGGAGCAAAAAAAATCTGATGCTGTGTCTTACCCATGTGTTTCTATTTGTACCTATCCAGCAGCAGCTGCTGGGATGGGAAGTGGCACCTAGCTTTGCTGCATGAAATAGGTGTGCTCTGGACAGCCAAGAGAGCTCTCTTGGGTGAACTTATTCATTGCTCTTTGCTGCATTCCCATCTTTCAGAAAAAGGGTGTTTAGGTTAAGTTTGGAAGCTGTTGTAGTCAAGATAAGTGGCTGGGAAGGAAGAGAAAGAAATAGCCATGCTATTCCCCAAAGCAGTACCACTCACCTCCTGATGCAGGCACACAGCAAAATGTGATGGCTGGGGAGCATCCCCCAAGGGTCTGGGTTAATGTGGGGAGAGGGCTGCATTCCCCATGTGGGTTAGTTCAGGTGGACCTTCTGGTGGCTGTATCAGGTGCAGCATGTCAAATGGAAGCTGGTTGAGAGCACCATTTCCACCTCTTGCTGGGTGCTGTTGCTTTAGCACAGCTGTTGTGTCTGATTTCATTTTTCTTGGGCTGGAGCTCTCTTGTTTTCACATTGCTTCTCAGCTGGTGTAACAGCCTGTTCCGAGTGCTGATGAGCAATGCACTGCTAATGAGGCTCCCAGCCCAGGCTAGGTATGTGCTGCTAAAGCAGAGCTTAGCTTGTATGAGGGTGAGACATCACCTCTGCTTGCCATGGAGGAACTGGGCCAGCAGCATGCCAACAGGAATCAATCCACACATTCGGTGGTATTCCCTGGGGTTTCCCAGGTGACTGCACTTAATGCTCTTGAAAATGAAAGCATTTGTATTAGAGGGATTTGGGCTTTTCTCACTCATTTCCCATCCTCTCCAAGAAGACTACCCGTGCCAGTGGCCACTTAGAGCTCACGTGGAGCTGGAACATGGGTGGTGCAGGGTGCTGTGCCAAGCTGCTGCTTGTGCATGGTTACCTGGTGCTCTCCATCCCGTTCTGCTCCCATCCAGATTCCTGCAAGGCAGTTGCTGCTTTAAGGGAATTAGATGGGCAAATTTCTCAGGGTTGAGCTATGCATGGTATCCTTTGATAACTGATGTCCTTCAGTTGCTTTGACAACCCCTGCTTGCCTCTGAAGTCACATGCTCTGAAAGGAAGATTTCTGGTGTTTTTTTAATCCTTTATTCCAGTGCACTCTTCTGGCTATTGCTCACAGTTGCAGCCCAGGTGCTGAGCAAACAAGGGAACCACCACCTCAGCATTTCTTCACCTTTTCAGATGTGCTTAGAGAGGAGCTGGCTTGCTGCGTGCCACCCAGCACCAGGAGGGTGGGCTGTCTTTTGTGGGATGTGGTGGCTTATTGGGAAGGACCCAAGATTGCCGGTGGGATCCCTTCAGCTCTCCTGGGCAATGCCTGTGACTTGTGATCTGCTGGGGATGAGTGCCCAGTTGAGGCACATACCCAGACCTGGCTGTGAGGCCAGCTGCACTTGTGCCATGTAGGTATTATCAGAAACTTTCTGACTCATCCCAGCCAGCAGCACTGCCAGCTCTGCAGGATCCCTACCAGTTTGCCCCGGATGTTCAGGCAGACCATGGTGGTGCTGCTGGCCCAAAGGACACACAGACACTGGGTAAACCCCAAAACCAAGCAGGGGTGAGGATGTGTTTTGAATTTCGGGATCCACAGGGACTGAGAAGGAAGCTGTCCCACAGCAGGTCTCCTTGGTGATTAACAGGGGCAGGCGTGCTTCTCCTGCAAGAGAGAGCCCATCCATCCCTGACATTCAGCATGGGATGGCTTTCTTCAAGTGCAAGGGGTAACTCTGCAAACACTACCTCACAGTAGAGCTTTTTTAATACAAATCTGGCTGGTGTTCAGAATGAGGCTTCAGGCAAGCAGCAAGGGGGTCCAGGGAGGCAGTGAGCTGCTCCTCTCCATGAAAGGCCCAGCTTTCTTCACAGAGAGCTAACAGAGTGCTCAGGGTACTACCAGCCCACTGAGGGTCTTGTTGGAACAGCAACGCATCTTGCAAGAAGCTGGGGTGGCAGCCTTTAACCTGCTGGTCCAGTTGCACCCGGCTGACATGCCCCAGTAAATATGTGGGAAGCATTACTTCAAAGCAATTAAGTACAGCCCCAGCCCTGATCTCAAGAATCCCAGGGCTGAAGGGATGCTTGCTTCAGGTTGTCAGCACGTCCACATCCTCAGACACCACCTAGCAACTGCTTTCTGCCCTAGTTTGGCCACCACCGGTGCAGAGCTCTTAAAATGGTGGATGCATGTTCTACACCTTCCTTTGCAGAGGTATATGTGCCTGCTGCTGCGATTCTGTTTTGGAATTAACAATGCCTGCTGACAGGGATGCTGGCTTGTGGTAATGCAGCTTGCTGCGCTGAATCCTCCCAGCTGCCTTGGCAGCTCTTGTTGCTTGGGAAAGGTGTTGCTCAGCACTCCTGATGAATCCAGCTGGGGCCTTTGGGTGCCACCAACTGTGGGCCATGGGAATGGGTGGCCACCTTCTCCCAAGTTATGGCTGGGGGCACCTGGGGTGTGGAGCCAGCTCTCCTGGTGCCACCAACGAGGGGCTTTGGGGAAACTGGCCTTTCCGATGGTAAGGAAAAAATCAGTATTGTCCTGAAATTTTTGTTCTCTGATCTCATGCAGCTCCATGCTAGGATGCTGTGGGGTTATACATAAGCGAGAACATGGGAATAAAAATTCCCCCTGATGTCAGTTGCTGCTGGCACACTCTTTCTCCAGCCTAGCTGTGCCCATGGAGCTGCTAGTGGTGGCTTAGAGCTGAGTTTGGCCCTGTCGAGAACAGAAAAAAGAAGAAAAAAATAGCAGCCACTGGTGGGGACCAGTGGAAAGAATGGGGAAAGAATGACTCATCTTTATGTTAAGAAATGGAGATGAATGAATGAATGCACAGGGAAACAGTGAGGGAAGAAAGAGGCATCCTGTGTCACAGTTCCTAGCTGTGTGGTGCTTGCTGCTGCCTGCTCTGAGGGAGTTGGGGACAAGGGTGCCAGCCTGGGATAGGAGCTGAGCCCTGAAGAGAAATAGGCTGGGATATGTGGGATGGGGGTTCCAAGTGCTGAGCTCCTCTAACCCACTCCCTGGAAACGTGAGCAGGAAGAATCCCCTCCTTTCCACCATTTTCTTCTAGATGTTGATTTTGGCTGGCTTTGGGTTTCTAGGAGCTGTGGAGAAGGAAGTCCCCATTACCATTGTTGCGATGGCTACAGAGACTTCATAAAGATTTCCTAGTTACTAATGCTTGTTTTTCTCCCTGCCAGGACTCGGTGATGACCCCATAGCATCCCTCACCCCCTTTCCAGTGGTGGGGACATCAGCAGGGCCAGGCTCAGGGGGCACATCTGTCCCCACAGCAGCTCCCCACCAGTCTACACCTCTGACAGCTGCGGGACCCACCAGTAATGGAGTGTCCCCCGAGGCGGGTGGCCGCAATGGGAGCACCACGGCCATGCTGTCCCCTGCCTCCACCCCCACAAACACTGTCACTGCAGCAGACAGCCCATCAGTGGCCCCCAGTTCAGTGCCACCAACCTTGGAGACAGTCCTGAGTCCTTGGACAGCACATTCCAGCATGGCGAGAGGCACGACAGATTCGGGGACAAATCCAAGCCCTGTGGACACGCCTGCATCCTTCCCTTCTTCCTCCCCTCACAGCAGCACCCTGCACTCATCCCCTGGGACAGCACTGCTCTCACCACCCATCCCCACCCAGCCACCGGCACTGATGAAGGACGTCCCTTCCCCAGGGATGCTGGCTATGGCATCAAGCCTGGCCATGGAGCCAACATCCCCCTCAGTGACTGTGGCCAGCCCCACCAAGGGCATGGCTGAAGAAGGCAGAAGTACTCCCTCCACTGGTGTCACCATAGAAGAGGTTCCACATGCCTTGAGTGCAGGTGAGCAGCACCCCTCTCTGCGCACACACAATATATATGCAACTTTTTTTTCCTGCTCTTATCAGTTACAATTTACTTTTCCAGTTATTTTTTCACTTAATTTCACTTTCACTGTATTTTGAGAGCAAAGATGTGCTCCCTGGAGGAGCCTGTGTCATCTGTAGAGGCAAGGGATTGTGGATACCCACACTCAAACACTCAGATGTGAATAAAACCCTGAGCTGCAAAGATGACTTAAAATGTTCAAGGAAGAAAGGAAGGAAGCCTCAACCATGAGTTAGGAGTTGGGAAGATGTATGTTTCTTCTCTCCTTTCTGGAGACAGCATGAAGCCAGCTTTGACCTGTCTTCTGCAAGCCCAGATGGGTTAAAGGACCAGAAAGTGGAGGTGGCTAGAACCGCTTCCTTGCATGGCTTCCAGCCCTGACTTGGCACCTGGTGCTGCCTGATGCTGGCAGGAACACTGAGGAGAAAGCCCAGATTTCGTAGAATGGTTTAGGTTGGAATGTACCTTTAAAGGTCCAACCCCAAGGGCTGGATTTTGCAAGGAAAGCTCAGTTATATCTCTGCTGGGGGCTGCTAGACCCCCCAAAACCTTTTTACCTGAGCACAGACTGAGATGAATTTAAAGCTCCTGATCAAGAAATAGATAGTAGCTCTGGGGCTTCTAGGTCTGCAGTAGTGGAAAAACAACCATTGTTTTATCCCAAACCCATCTGCCCTGTGTTATGGGAACGGAGCAACACATAAGGATAGTGGGGCCCAGCAGCCTCCAGAAGGGATTTTTTGGGGAGCATCACAGGGATGCCTGTGCAGGAGATGGATCTGGCACTGGCACCAGGAGCTGAGCACTGCCCTTTCTGGTGCTCCCTGCAGGCAGCATCGTGGCCATAACCGTGACAGTCATCGTGGTGGTCGTGCTGGTCTTTGGGGCGGCGGCGTACCTCAAGATCAGGTAAGGCTGGCCCTCTGCAGGGCCTTGAGTCCCAGTCTTTGGAATCATGTCTCTATTGAAAGCCAGAGCTTTCTCTGTTGCTTTACAGAAGTCTCACTCAAATGCCAGAGATGCTGCTCAGCACGCAGCCATAACCAGCAGTTATCCCCAGGGTGAGCTGTTGCCTTGCACCTTGCTGTGCCTGCAGTGATAAGCAGCAGCGTGGCCCAACAAGATCTAGATGAGCAAGTCTCATGTTAATCATCAAATCACAGAACAGCTCAAGCCCATCCTAATTCCAACCTTCCTGTTTACTGTTAGGTGTGCCCCAAAACATGGCATGGGCTCATTCTCCCTCCCAGGGGGTCATGGGGAGGCAATGATCCTTTCCCAGTGCCATTTTGGTGTGTTCTGTAGGCGGCTGGTCAAGGTGGGGTTTGCTGGTGGCAAACTGCCTTCTACAGAAATATCTCAAAAACGACGTCGTGAAGGCCCAGGTGCATTTTTTTTTTTCGTTTTACCCTACAGTAAAAGAATTAATAAACCACTAAAGCAGCCAGCATGTTAAAAAAAAAAAACAAAAAAACAATAAAGAGGGCTCCTGTAGCTGTGCATTGGCCAGCTCCTTGCTGCCCACACTGCAAGTGCCACAAGCTCCATGCTGTCCTCCTCATATGCCTAGTGGCAAAGCACAGGGCGTTCTTCCTGTCCCTCTGAAGGACACATATGGGCTTTGAGAATTTTGATGATATCTTTCTGGCCCTCTATGTGAGCACCCCTGACTCATTTTGCCTTCTGCAGGCTAACATGGCGCCATGTTCCCCACAGGCACTCCTCCTACGGAAGGCTGCTGGACGACCACGACTATGGCTCCTGGGGGAACTACAACAACCCCCTCTACGACGACTCCTAGCAGAAGATCCTTATTTATCAGCGCTTCCCCAGCACGCACCTGCTGCTTGTCCTCGCCACGCATGCTGGGCTGCAGCCTGGAGGCCAAGCTGCCACCATGAGCAGCACACCGCAACAGGCCCAGCAGGAGGCGGCTGGCCGCAGGGCAGGTGCACAGCGCCCACAATAAACCTGAGTGTTGGCGCTTTGTGTGGGAAGCTCTCTGATAACATGGGGTGGGTGCTGCTTCGGAAGTGGAGGGGGACCTGGGGCAGGTCTGCCCCTTTGCTGCTAGCCCAATAAACCCAAATTCCCTTTGGGAGGGCTTTGGGAGGCAAAGGCAGAAGACGGCAGCCCTGCGTTATCTCCGGAAAGAACACGGAGCGTCCCATTGCTTTACGTGTCCCTCCCTCCAAGATCACCTCCCTGCACTGTCCCACTGCAAAAGCCTATGCCTTCCCTCGCCTGTGGTAGCTCGCCATGGGCAATTACACAACTGCTTACTCTCCTGCTGTTTCCTTTTGTGTGTTTATGCAGAGAAGCATGTCATTTCACTTTTCCTCCTTTCTTTTTTCCTCCAACGCAGCGTGGGAGCCTGCAGGAAGGGCGCCTTTCCCACCTGCACTTCTGGGATAAGGAACACCCCACTGCTGAAACCCATAGTTTGCTCTGCAGCACTATTTTTCATCCTTCAAACAGTTGTCCTCTAAAATACACTGAAGCCATTTTTATCCCCAGTTTATGCACGCAGTTAATTGCACACACGCACACACCAAAAAGGAAAAAAAGGGGGCTGGGTTGTTTATGGTTGGTTTCATCTTTAAATGCTGCAGTGTATACTACAGGCTTCTACAAGAGCAGGTGGGCTGGCAGCACTGTGTTCAAACCCCTCACTTTTTGGGGACCAGCAACACAAAGCTGTCCATTCAGGGGACAGCTGAGATGGGCAAGACCAGATTTCTCTGCTGGTTCCTTGGCAGAACAAGCCCTATGTATGTGCACAGGTCTGCAGCTCCAGCCTTCCTCTGGGCATGATGCTTGAGCACCTGGCTGAACACTGGAACAGGGGCTTATTTTGGGAAGAGGGTGGTCACCTCCCACAACAAAGTCTCCACAGCACCTTCGCAGCCCCACACTGGTGAGCTCATGGAGAAAACTTCATCAGCTTTCAGGAGCCTTCACCAGGCACCTCAACATGGAGGCCTCTCACCTGGGCTTGGTGGCAGAGATGCTGCCCTCCAGTGAAGATGAGCTGTGGGTACCAAGCAGCTCCTCATTCTTTTTTAAGGCGGATGGGTTAGAAACAGCAAATAAAGCAGAGAACATCACTAAAGTGCTGCAGAGCCCTGAGGTTTGTCTTTATCTGAGATATCTCATGCACTTGGAGTCCTCTTCACCTGTGCTGAAGGGCACAGCAGATTTGGAGCAGGTATGACAGCAGGCAAGAAAACTAGCCATGATCAAGGGAAAATGGCCATAATTAAGAACACAACCTGTGCAGAGAGGGCAGTGTTCATTCACTTCCTTTTCTAGCATCAGCTAGAAAATGGGTCCACAACAAGGTCACAGTCCCTTGGTGAAGCATGTTGGCTCTGGGAGAAAGCAGATCAGTTTACAAGAGAAAAACTTGCTGATAACTACACCTTCAAATCCATCCAGCTGTGGAAAGCCAAACTTTTGGCATACATAGAGCAAGTTTTATGATATGGTTTCTCCTTTCTTGTTTTTTTTTTTTTTTTTTTTTTTTTTTTTTTTTTTTT